GTATATGCCAAATTTACGTAGTTTCGATATACATCATGAAGATTCTATACAAGATAATCATATACTGTATCATAATTTAATGGAAGAATTTAATTCATTATTTTGGATTGAACGACAATGGTTTTTTACTCATCAACATGATTGGCAACAAAGATTAGATAGTGGAATATTTTATTCAACAAATCCATATCGGTAGAATAATACTGAATATTATTTTCTATAAATGATGTTTATTTTTTCTTGTTTAGAAGAAAAGATTATACATTTTATTGGGAATTAGAACAACAATTATGCCCACATATTCAAGAAAATAATTTAAATTCAGTTAAACATATTCATATTTGTAGTAAACAAGCTAGAAATAATTGTATTAATTATTTTCCAAATGTAACTGAATTAACAATTAAACATTTTTTTCAAACATCAGATCATTCAATTTCAATAACTTTGAATCAAATGATTCCTTTAAAACAATTAACTAAATTAGTTATTGAATCTGATCATTTTCCTTTTGATGAAATTGTGTTGTAAGACGTAAAATTTCGACATGATGAAAAAAATGTTTGATTAATTTTTCTAATAGATTGAAATTTATATCATCAAGTTTCATTGAAACATGATTTAAATATTTTAATACAATAGGATAATTATGAATATCACTATAACGAGATCCAACAAGACAATTAATTGATAAATAACGAAGATTTGGAAGACAAAAAAAGAAATCATTTAAAGAATCAAATGGAAAACGACTGTTTATTACATGATATTCAATTGAACTACGTTTAAGATCAACTAAAAAAAACGGCAATGGTTCTTGATTATCTTTTGTTTGATATGTAAATTTGCAAGATTTTAATTTTGGTAAACGAAATATGTAAATAAAAATAATACTTGGATCTTGCACATAATCAATAGGTGTAAGAACTAATGAATAGAGTTTTGGTAAAAGAATAGAATGTTTGAGAATATTGTGAAGATATTTTGCATCAATATTATCAAGAATTAATGTTTCTAATTGAATAAATTGTAAAATTAGATTTACTTCCTCTCTATGAAACAAATTTAAAAGTACTTTATCAAAATGAAATTTTTCAATATGTATCAAATGAAAATCATATTCGAAATTTAGATCTTCGTCATTGGTGTACATTAAAACATTTTCGTTTGATTATGAATTTATTTCCACAAATTGAATATCTTAAAACCGGAATGAAAAGAAAAGAAATTCAACAAATTATAAAATTTCTATTTTCAAAAATGAATAATAAAACATATCATTTATTCTTTTTGTGTATTTCTCCAACACCTAAAATATGTTTACAAGAATTAAAAGATTTAATTCAATCAGAAAATTTACTTGCTCATTATTCTATTAAATATATTAAGCGAGATTTGTATTTATGGTGGTAGATATTTTCTTGTTTGGAATATGTGTTATTCTTGTATACAGTTAGTGAATATTTTGAAATAAACAGAGGTATAAAACTTGAATACAGTTTTCAATAATCTTGAATAATATGATGGAAGATCGAAAGGTAAATGTATTGTTCAAAAGTTCATGTTTAATACAGTGAAGTAGTTCCTGATCATCATATCGTGGTATTAGGGCTGAGAGTGTCGATGTTCTTCGGTATGCGGATTATCACTTTCATCTTGATTCCTTTTCGACGCTCCGCAAATGATGATTGCTAGAATAAAATACAGTGACTAAAATTAGGCAATCACTAGTCTTACCCCTTATGATTATTGATACTCGATGGCTTGATGAGGAATCTTCTTTGATAAAATATACAAATGATTTTGATGTACACTTGTAGAAGAAAATATGTAAGAAAAAGCCTTTTTTCCAACGAAAATCAATGAGTCATATCCGCAACCACTTGCTTTCGTAATGCAAAGTGGGACGTGCTCGATTGAGAAAAAGAAAGCTCAAAAACGTGGGTCTGGATGTGAGTGTGGGTGTGAGTGGGTGCGGGTATGAGTGTACTTTAATCAGACATTCATACCCGCACGTACACCCTCACCGACCAACACTCGCACCCCCGCCCCCATACCCACACTCACACTCACACCCACAGCCGCACCCACAACCATACGCACACACACACCACACCCACAATCACCCACAGTCCTAGCCCTCCC